AGGAACAGTTGTGTTTCAAAAGCTTCATTTCTGCTAAACCATGAACAGTTTTAAAGGATAATAATCATCTGTGTTCCTCCTGTTTTTTATTTTGTAAAGACTTGGCAGTGACTGCTGAAAGTAACACTGAAAGGACCTGCAGGCAACTCTGCACTCCGAAGGATGATACTTTTTTAGAGCTTCTTGGCACAATTTGGAACATTCATATAATGAAGTTCAGCCTTTGTTTTCGGGTGACTTCACAATTCACTACCACTTGACATTCCCTTAGGGATCGCTGTGGGATTCCTTCTTTAGTGTTCTTCTAACACCAAAAACCCAAACTATTATTGTAAATAAGCATAAAGGCAGATGTCAACAACAATAAAACTTGTTTCTTCTTGCTTGTTTCTTCTGCTGCTGCTACTCCCAGAACAAATACTTTGAACACTATCAAGTGGTAATGCGTTGCCTGCATAGTGTAGTGTGGTGCAACCTTCCTATGCCACAGTATTTAGGTAAAGGGAATAAATAGTCTGAGGGGAATAATTTATGCTATGGAGTAAATCTTTTGAAGGTCAAAGAAGACATTGCATTGAACCTGTTTATAAACAAACAAAAAAACTAAGGACACATATTCATGTTTCGAAGACACTTTGAGACACCACGGTTCTTTCATTTACAAACAGAAAAGAGCAAACGAAAGGAAACATTGCTTTTTTTAAGAACCATCATAAGTGATTTTCAGCATTTCAAAGGTGTCTAATTGGAGACTGTCAGCAACATATGTATATATGGACAGAATTGAAGACTTCGAAATCATTTAATTGTCTAACAGGCATGTCTAAAACTCACCCTTAAATTATCACGTATTCGGTCTTGAGATAACTATGTCATACAAACTGGCACTAAAGGAGGTGTAATCAACTGAAATGATAGGTTTCTTGAATTTAGAGTACAGTCGTGCCCCGCATAGCGACGTTAATCCGTTCCAGGATTAATGTCGCTAATCGGATTCGTCGCTATGCAGGGGGAAAAACCCATAGGAACGCATTAAACTCCGTTTAATGTGTACCTATGGGGTGAAAACTCACTGCTATGCGAAGATTCCCCCATCCGTCCGCCGTTTTTGCCACCCGGTAAGCGAGGACAGGGCGCGAAAACGGAGCGGGCGGCCATTTTTTTCTTCCGGCGGCCATTTTGGAACTGCCGATCAGCTGTTCCCAGAACATCGCAATGAGAAGATCGGTAAGCAAAACGCTTACCAATCATCGCAATGCGATGTTTTGCCTATTAAAACGTCGCAATGTGATCGCATTAGTGATCGCAACAAACGCGTCACTATGCGGATTCTTCGTTAAATGGTGCGCGCGTTAAGCGAGGCACCACTGTACAGGAAAACATTGGGCAAAATCCTGTTGCTTAATGTACTGAATTGCACTACAGCAAAGAGTAGGTTCATTTGAATCAGTGGAACTGACAGAGGACTTGACTCACTAAATCAGGGGTGTCCAACCTTTCACCTTCCCTGGGCCACATTAGAAGATGAAAATTTGGTTTGGGCTGCACATGGGGGGGCAACCCTAGCTGTCCTCTGCAGCTCCGCTCCAAGTGCGCTTACCGGCAGCTGCGATCTCAGACAGCAGAGACTGCCAGCTTCAACTCCGGTGGCTTTATGGGGAGGGGGTCCACCTATTGACGGGGATGGCACAATGCAGTCACACAGCCCCCTCTCCCCTCCCCCTCCTTCCTTCCCTCTCCAATAAAAAATTGCACTGGGTCGCATTATGAGCCAACCTGGGCCACATGTGGCCCTCGGGCCGCAGGTTGGACAAGCCTGCACTAAATCATAATTGATTCATATGGGCCTACAGTAGTGCAATTGACTACATGGCTCTTTGCCACTGTATAAGGAAATCCTCCAGTCAGCACAACCCATAGCCCTATTGCTCAGAGTTTTGGGAGATGCTGTCCAAAAATGGTAACATTTCCTAGGTTGGGTTTTAGTAGTGCCATTCATTGCTTTGCTGGTGGTATGGGAGTAATCATCATCCTTATGGTTCAATGCTCAAAACAGCATTATGCTCAGGGCTTGTCAAAAAGTTGTAATACTAGGATTTGGGAGGATCCATTATCTAGTGTAGAGGTCTCCAAAATTTTCAGTATGAGGGGAGGGACACATCACATATTTTACACATTTTTGAGGGCTGAAGGAGGTAAGGGTGACCCCAGCAATCCCCCACTGCCACTATCTTTGCAAAGACAGCGGGTGGTGGAGGATTGCTTGAGTCTCCCTTCCGTCCTCTTCCTATGCCCGGGCCTGATAAAAAGGCAAGGCAGGCCAAATGTGGCCCATGGGCCATAGTATGGAGACCCCGATCTAGTGAAATCAACTGAAACAGAAGGAAAATAAGAGTTTCAGGAAAGGTATTTTCCATATTCTTATTTTGATACTTGTTACCTATTCCTTTACATGTTTTATTTATACATGGAGTGATCATTAATACATATACAACACATACCTCTGTATGCACAAGCCAGAAGCGATAGCAGTGCATCCTACTGCTTATTTACTCCAGGGCATATATCAAAGGTGAACTAACAAATAAACAAGTTTCCGTTTCTCGTTGTGCACCAAGTCACATGACTGGTATGCAACAAGAAATACAAGTGGTGACTTGTGGAGTAGCAGCAGTTCCGTGCTGCCATTTTCACCCCTGCACCTACAGCAACATAGCAACTGATCAGACTCTGGCCAATATGTTTGATTTGTATTGTTCCCGAATGTACAAACTCCACCGAGAGCTAAACACAACACATTCATTGTTTTGAGGTTGTATTCCTGTTCACTTCAAACCGCTTTCACAACTGACATAGCCCACACAATTTTTGAGGGCAGTTGTGCAGAGTTGTGCAGAACCCCCTTGTGCAAGCAGAAGTCCCCAATGTTGCTTGTGCAATAGCAAAGTAGGAGATTGCCTGGAACACTGCCCACCCAAAGTTTTGATTTCATAGGGATGTTTTGCTGGTTTTTAACTGTTTTGTTACTTTATAAAAGTTATTCATTATTATCACAAGGATTTACTTATACATTTACTTTCAAAACTAGTCTCTGTTTTGAAGAGTTTTAGTTTATCATGAAATTCTGTGTCTCACTTCTGGAATATGTGACCCTGAGCATACACAGAGTGCCAACAAGAAGGAGCAGCAGCAGCAGCAATTGATGCACTTTTATCTGGATTTCAGTTCATCTTGGCAGGAAGGGTGTTGTCTGAACTTCTTAAAGGATCTGGTTTTAGAGAATTTGTGTGCAAAACAAATAAATAGGTCTTCTCTGTGTGTTTGTGTGAACAGGAGTGGGTTTCCATTACTGTTTTGGAACCAGAGGAATCAACCTGGAACAGGCTGAAACCTAGATTCCCTCAATTTTAATGAAAGGTCTACAGCATGGTATCCTAAGGGGATTACTTCCAGTTGTGTGGGTGCATGATTCCTACTCATTATACCCCCCCCATGTAAAATATCTTCAGAAATAAGTTATTTTAGAAAAACTTAGTCTTACTCATTTTTGGTGAAAAACCTGTTGTATCGGTTATGATCCAGGTTCCCTGTAAGGTGTGCATCCGTGCGTGACTCTACCCCCCTCTGCACAGGGTGGCTCCTCCTCCTCTGTGCACCCACAGTGACAAGTTTTCAGCCCCTTTGGTTCCAGGGGGAGGGTAGCGTTGTGTGCATGCAGGGTGAAGTCACACACACAAGGGGCAGAGGCCCACCTAGTGGGTTTGAAAATTAGACAGAACACTGATTATGGTTTATTGGCTGAAATCCTGTTGCTTAGTGTATGAAAATGTGTATGTTGCAACATGTTCCTAACTGGCAAATAAAACATCCTGACCATTACCAAGCCAGTGTGCGCACTCATCCCTGTGAATCCTGGTTGGGGCTTTCTTTGCTGGCTAGGAATGGAATGAAAGATAAAAAATTTTCTTATGTCATGCAGCCAGATTTCAGCCACCAATTCATATATATTGCCATTCTTTTCTGGCCTATTACTAGTCTTCCTGAATTTTAATGAACATGACTTTGACACATTATGATGGATTCCTCCCGTAAGCATTAATTTAACAATAAAAGACTGAAAAGCAATGCAAAAGATGGGAGATTAGCCAGCCTGCTCTTGATATTTGAGGTTTTTGCTTTATGGTTCTTAACATCATCATCTTAGAACTGCGGAGCGAGAAGCGATCCTATGGATCATGGAGTCCAGTCCCTGTCAAGGAGGCACTAAGAGGTTCCATTATTTTTGCTGGAACACAGACTTCTGGAATTTGTTCATCTGCTGTTCAGGTACTGAGAATTGACTTTGTGGTAAAAGCAGGACGGAGGTCTTAGGAGATCCACCTTCTGATATTCATGAAGCTCACTGGGTGACCTTGGGGGCTTGTCGCTCTTTCTGAGCCTTGCCCTCTCTCTCAAGGAGAGCAAAGAAACAGTGGGGAGGGAGTCACGTAGTCTGCTATGCAGCTGTTTCTTTCTCTACTAATCGCAGAACTGGGACAAAGGGAGAAGAGTGGGATAAAGTCATGGATGGGATTTTTCAACTTTTTTTCTGATAAGTGTTTAAGTTTTATCATAATTATCAACTGAGGATCAACATCATTATTAACCATCTGTCCCTACAGTGTAAATATAGCCGAATTAGATTTTTGAGCTCCCTAAGGATCAGTGCATTGCATTTACCCTACTGATTTCCTAATTTCTGCATCTGTCCATACCTACACATATATATGCATCCATCATTCACCCACACATATGCACATGCTACATTCTTTCATCAACATGTACACACACAAAATTCTTCCCTCACACTAGCTGCATGGACCAACCAGCGATGGAAACTGGGCACACCGCTGCATCACCATTTTGCCAGCTGTCCAACTGCCATTGTATAGAACTGTAGAATCTTTGATGTTACACAGTAGTCCTTCAAACAGAATGATTTAAGTCTTGAGGCAATTAAATGGTTTGGGTGATTTTATTTAGAATGCGTCCAACACAATTCTCCATTTGGGTTCCACATTTCACACTCACCTGTTGTATTCTTAGGAACATAATATGGAGTCTTTAAATCCTTTGGGACTCTGCTGGACATTTATATTCACTAATTCTCTGACATGGGGCTTCATGTACTTTATTATGTTTGGGGTCAGGAAAATCTAGGCATGCAAATAGTCACAGAAATGCCTAAAAAAAAATCTGACTTCACTTTAGTAACAGGTTCATCATTTCGAATTGAGTACCATTTACTTAAGATTAAATTTGTCTGTCTTTTGCCTAGTCTGGCTGCTGCAAAAGTGGACAGGTAAATATGCTGTTGTAATAATACCTCATCCAATAGGGAAGATATGATGCATTTGCCCACCCACCCCTCTTGCATCCTGGACCCAGAAAATTCATCAACTGACCTTCATGTGATCACATTGGTTTTATCAGGAACAACAGCACACCACAATATTACCATAGCTAGCACATTTTGACCAACTGGGTGTTTTTAGAAAAACATCAGAGCTTGTGTCTTTGCTAGACTTCTGTTTTCATGAACTGAAGGTCATATTACAGAGCACAAATGAGGTCTAAAATTTAGCCACAGCAGACCACAGCTCCACAGGAAAAAAACAAAAAACAAAAGAAAACACATCTTCAAGTTAGGTCAACCTGCTTGGAAACACAGATTAAAACAGTATAGCAAACATGGATCTGCAATGCACTGTTTCCCTATTTAAATATTAACTGCTTCGTTTTACATTTAAATGAACTAAGCAACAATGGATGGAGTTTCCAGTACCGCTGGTTGGTGTTGCTGTGCCATGGGAACAAGCAGTGACAATGTGGCTTGGATGGAAGAACAGGGCAGGGGCTGGTGGGGGGGGGCAAGTGATACAATTTCAGCATCTGCTCTAAAGTGACTTTAAAGATGATCAAGCGGATCATTCGCCAGTTTTAAAATATAATCTTATATAGCATTTCCCTTCCCTCCCTTTGCAAACAGATCTGTTCATAAATAATTTGGATGTCTTCTTGACATTCATGATATCTAACAGAAGCTGAAGTAGAAAAAGGATGGATGTGGTATACAGCATTAAGGAAATGTCAAAGAGAGTACTTCATTTTTGTCATTATGTTGTTCTGTTTAGCGTCTGATGTGTGGGTTGCAAAGGATATCAGCCATCAGACACAGGAGGAGTAACCCACCCATACTTTTCATGGGTCTTCACCAAACTCTTAAAGGTGGCTTCAGCTTCCTTACGACTGAAGGACTTTTTTGATTTTCCAGCTTTTCTGCAGATGCGGCCCTAAATAAAAGAAACCAAGAAAAGAACATTTGTATGCTACTTTCTAGTGTAGATATAGGCACTGGAGATATCACACTTAGCAACATTAAACCAGAATGACCAACACATGCTCCGATGGATCTTTGTAACCCAGTGAGTCCATCAGAGGCCTTAACATCCCACACAATCATCTTTTAGGTACCGTTTAAAAACATATTTATTTGTATGATCTTAAGGAACAAACAAGTATTTTCTTTGTTTGGGTTTTGGGGGGAGGGCTCTTTGCATTATTTTAATTACATATATGAAAAACGCATTTCTGATTATAGGTATTTCTTGTGTTTGATCAGAGTGCTGCATTTTTATATAGACATTAGCTATTTTGAGGTCCTATGTGAAAGAACAGTAAAAAAATGTGAAAGTAAAATGAATTAAAATGAAGCCTCTGATTTCATTGCCCTCACAGTAAAAGCTTGGTTGGTTTATGGTTTAAGCTTTTACTAAATTTGCAGATCACTGAAGCATCAAATTAAATCACAGAACATGTAAAATATAATGTTCCCAATTTCTTCTATAAAGTAATAGAACTGGGGAAAAAAAACAGCAATTGTTAGATAAATACCAACTGTAGGTTCCAAAGACAACAACTGGCCATATGTGCAAATGCCTATTGTTATTAAGCTATACAAAAGTCTAAGAAGAACACGGTCTCCCACACAACTTTTTGCAATGCAAGCATCAGAACAAGAGTTCACCATGTAACACTAGAGGCAGCTTTAGTGTCTTAATTATTCCAGATCCATGCATCAGAAATTTGATCCACGTAACTTGTGTCTTTCCGCTGCAAGTGATACCAATGTCACCATTTATAAACTTCCAAGGTACATGGAACCTTAGAAGGTACAAATGTTAACACTTGTGAATGAAAATGTAACGCGTGAAGGGGCCTTATGAGATTCGGCAGCTCTGCGGAAAGGAAGGCAAATGTGACATTTTATTTACAGCACAGGGGCAATCACAAAATGGCAAATGAAAGCTAGATATCCCTAGGGGCAGCACTTGCCATTTTGGCATCTCTTTGCGCTATCATTAGTAAAGACTCTTATTTTTCCGGTCAGGCTGCCATATTCTGTAGATGGAATTCTGCACTGAATAAAAAATTCCTAAATTTCGAGGCCATGGGGTGGGCATTTTTATTCCTCCTCCCTTCCCAATAAGAAAAAATTCAGGGGCAAATTAAATGATGTATGCGACTTAATTTTTAAAGAATGTTAGACTTTCCTGTGGAAAGTGCCAGGACACTTCAGTGGGTCAAAAACACTGCAGCCAGATTGTTAACTGGGGTTGGTCACAGGGATCACAGAACCCCCCTCCCCCCGTTACAGCAGCTCCACTGGCTGCTGATCCGGTTCTAGGCATAATTTAAAGTGATGGTTCTAACTTATAAAACCCTAAACGGCTTCGCTGATCAGCAGAAGAGGACTTTTTTCCTGGTCCTGCCACCTTCACAGGTGTGTTTGGTGAGTACATGGGAGAGAACCTTCTCTGTTGCTGCTCCCAGACTCTGGAACTCCCTCCCACAGGATGGCTATTTATTTATTTATTTTATTTTATTTATATCCCGCCTATCTGGTCAATTATTTACTGTCTTTCTGCAAGCAGGCAAAGACCCCTTCCTTCAGGCAAGCTTTCCTTGAGTGAATAGCTGTGAAGTGGGGTTTTCAAAATGGATTGTTGTGCCTTACTGCGGTGAATGTTTTTTTTAATGTTGCTTATGTTTCATTGATCCTTTTAGTATTGTATACTCATTGTTATTAGCTTAAATGCTAACTTTTAATCGTTGTAAATTGACTTGGGTCCTTTTTAAAAGAGAAACTTACTGTATCTAAAATGGTTTAGATTAGATAGATAGATAGATAGATAGATAGATAGATAGATAGACAGACAGACAGACAGACAGACAGATAGATAAAATGATTTCTTTAAGAACGTGCAGTGCATAATGTATAGCTTAGCAACTGCATGAATAGGTGTGCTGTTTGTGTTAATACATTTACAACTGAAAGGATATTCACAGAGACCACCTTAGGCATTAAGACTCCTTTGGAAACAGATCAAATGGGTCCTTCTGGCGTTTTTTCACCTAAATGTTGTTCCATTTTAATCCTGTGTTTTTAAAATCTAATTTATTTTATTTATATCTTGCCTTCCTCTCTTATGGGACCCAAGGGGGATCACAACATGAATTCAGAAAACAGACATTTTTTAAAAATCCTTACACATTATAGATTAATTGCATTAAAACAGCAGAGAATTAACACTGTGTAAATTACCTTTAACATACATTTTTAGAAAAAGCAAAGCAAAAGCGAAGCCCCATAGCACTTCAAGCACTCTCTGGGCGGTTTACAAGTTAATTACGCAGGCTACACATTGCCCCCCCCCAGTGAGCAGGGTACTCATTTTACTGACCTCGGAAGGATAGAAGTCTGAGTCAACCTTGAGCCGGCTACCAGGGATTGAACCCCGGGTCATGAGCACAGTTTAGGCTGCAGTACAGCGGTTTAACCACTGTGCCATGGGAGCACCTCTCTTTTCCTTAAAGGTCTCTTTCTTTTCTCATTGTCACTCAGTGGTGAAAGACCTGTCTACATTAAAATGTCTTTGCCTGTTTGCAGATGGATGAGAAAGGGGCAGCTTAACTTTGCCTGGAAGCGAGTTCTATGGCCTGAGAGTAGCCACCAGGAAGTCCCTTTTTCATGCTTCTGGTAAACAGGCCTGTGAAGGTGTTGGGACAGAAAAAGAACGATCTTAAGAGGCAGGCAGGTTCGTATATGAAAATATAGTGTGATTTTATCTGTTTTCAAAGCTGTGCAATTAAACACTAAGACCAGCAGACCCTTTTTAGAGTTTCTATACAAATGTTTTATGCAACAGTATACAGCTAGGTTTTTGCCACATAAGAAAATCAGCAGAAAATATCACTTGGTAACATAGGACTATTTGCACCTGGGAGTAGAAAGGGTAAAATTGAGCTTTAAGATGGTCCCTTTGCCACAGTAATGCCACAAAGGAACAAAATAGAAGAAAAATCACAGGTGGATGGCTATAGAAACCACGAGCAAGGGTCTCTCTTTCAGCTGTCTAAAAATGAAATGTCAGTCTCTAACCTAAATGAATAGGATTTGGGTGATACATGTCTGCATATTGTTAATTATGTGATCCCGAAGATTGCGATGAACAAAGTGCAGCGAAAAAAGTATTATAAAACCTTATCTTAAAAAGCATGTCACTCGTTTTTCTAAAGGTGCCAAATGTCCACAGGACCCTTCCTCCAAATTTCCAACTTTTTTACTGGACAAACTGGGAGGCAGGGAGAGTTTCATTTCTCCCACTGTCCGCCAGACCTTCATGTACATACATGATCATCCTATAACCTGCTCTTGACCCACTCACCCCTGCATCTTCTTCACCTACTTGTGGCAAAGGCTGCAATCACTGCCATGAGGATTTTTCCAGGGGGAAAAAAAATTAACTGAAGCAGCAGTTGGTGCTCCAACACAGGCTATAAATGTTAAAAAATGTGAAACACAGATGGCCTTTTGGAAAAGAAAAGATTAGTCTCATTTATGAAATGATATAGAAATACAAAGCCCTGGGATCTTTCTTTTGATAGAGAGAAGTACTGTACTGTATATGAATTTCCTAAATGAATGAAGTAAATGTTAATTGCTATTATCCATTAATATACAAATAGAACCATCACATTCAAAGGCAGCAAACAGGTGCTGGAGGCCAAAATAACATGGAATGACAACTGCTTCCAGAAAACTGGAAGACCAGCTCACTGGCAGTGGCAGGAAATAAGATGTTGGAACAGATGACAGGCCAACAGCCAGACTAAGAAAGGATTTTCCTATGCTCCAAAGCATATTAGGCTCCACAAAAGAATGATAGACTCTTGTACAACCCACTTTCACTTAAATGGGGCATGCAAAGGAGAAGGTCCTGGTAGATAGGGGTCTTTATTAATTAAAGGGCAAAAAAAAATATTACTATCTGGATTTTCCACCTTTGGCCCTCAGGCTGCTTCTGGATACAATGGAACTTATGTGGATCATATGCCAAATAAATTATTCAAACATCTGCAAATAAGTTGGAGGTTGATTAGAAATTTTAAGGGATTCCCCACAGAAATCAATGCAAACCACTGTGGTGCCTTTCAAAAAACTTCACTGGAATATAATGGTGTATTTTTGCTAGGTGCCACTGCTTCTACCAGAAATAGTGATCTCTCCTCCCTCCTGCAGCCCTTTCTGTAATCTACGAACCTCTTCTGCAATATTAGGGAATTATTTGGAGGAAGTGTTTGGTGATACCACAAAAGGCTGCAGATGGAGAGTGCAGGAAAAGACAGTCCCTATTTTGATACTTTTTGGTGACTGAAGTGCACACCTCGATCTTGGTCCTGGTTTTGTTGCTTGTTGAACCTGCTAAATACATTTATACATAATCATAGTCCTCCAAGTGCTTATTAATTCGCTGCTGTTTAGATGGCTTCCTTAACAACTTCCACTTACATGCCATACATAGCTTTGCCTGTTTAAAAAGGGTTTCCTACGGTAGTCTAGCATCACTACATTGAAGTGGTGAAAAAGCAACATTTTACAAGTTGCAGCTAGTGTAAATGTAACAGACACAATGTAGAGAAATGTGTTACAGCAATTAGCTGCTATTTTCCAAACCTCCTGTACTGTTCAATGTCCCACTGGATCAGGATGCACTGATATTAAGACACACTCATTATAATTTATACGGGATGTTTTCAATGTTTAAGCCATCATGAGAATGTTTCAGCTACACCTGGATACGAAATGTTAATCCTCACTGCCAATGAAATTGTGACAGTACTATTCAGAAAGGTAATATAGGTGCCCAACTGTCAGATGTACAGGAATACAGAGTCTGCACTGATATTTCACCATTCATGCAGCATCGCTATGGTGAGGTGAACCCACTCC